CCAGGTCTAGAAATTACACATTTAAAATGAGTCAAAGACAAAGACAGTAGCTTGTGTTGAATTAAAACTGCCAATTTTGTTTTTCTACTGTGTGTACACCAGTCAGATAATGTTAGTATGTAAAATCTGTATGTAAAATTGCATCATGTTTTACAGCTATCAGAGGTCTCTAAGACACTAAACATTTGTATGGAAGCTATTTAAAACACATTATCAAATTGAAATATTATTTACAAGCAGTTGTCAGGAGATGAGTAAAAATCAGACTCAGTATAATTCAGTGTTGGTTTTTTTGAGCTGTTGAAAAGGCCTTGAGGTCTCTCAGGCCCTAAGAGGAGCACACATGTTAAATATCTCTTTGTTTTATGTAATTACTTTAATTTTAAATGACTCAAAATCCTAAAACCTTTCCTGCATTTCCTGATTTCAATGAAAATGACAGCTTTTTTTTATTGTGGTCTGACTTTTATCCCACTGTACATTTACAACTGGCCTTTATTTACATAAGACTAGCTTAGCTACACTTCCCTTTTCTCTGAAAACTATCTGCAAACACACTGAAGATGATAAAGCTTTCGGCTTGGAGGAGTTTTTTCTCTTTATAAGGCTTTGACTCTTAACATTTCAACATGGTGCATTAACCCCTACGATGTTTGTCCTCCCTTTGAGAATGCATTACGTCACCAACCACTTGCATCTTTTGCCCTTAACCGAGGAAGGAGAAGGAATGTGAGGGGCTGGAAAACAAATAATACTGGCAAAAAAGAAAAGGAAAAAAAAAATCCACATGGAGTTTAATTAGTTGGAATGGGACAAAGGAGGGGGAACTCCATCAGGAAATTACTCAATGAGACCAGCTGCAACCTGACTATTGATTCATGCAGTCAATCCATGCACAGACGATTGATGTAAGTCACAGTGTTAAAATGATAAGCCATGATAAGAAAAAAAAAGCAGCCGCTACAAGATATAATAGAGCATATGGGATAGAGTAAGTGGCTCTGGGGGGTCTCAAAGAGAGGAAATGATGTTTACTTGAACTGTGAACAACAACAAGAGACAATTCAAAGGGCAAGCTGACAAAAGTAAAAGTGCGGTTCCAGACAGAGGATTAACTAAGATAAAATATAAATATAAATTTAAACAGTGATTTATAAATTTAAATTGACTTGGATGATTATACATTTAAAAACAAAACATTTAAGGATTTAGATATATACAAATAAATAATAATATGTTGTATGAGAATATAGGATGACTGACGTGATTATGTTGCAATGTGTCATAGCATTCTTCAGCTGCAGTTTCTGTTTCCATGGTAACAGCGACCTCTCTGATAGGTGAATCTGTCTTTAGGATAATGGATCTAGTTCTATAGTGTGCAAAAGTGTCTGTCCACTTTTTCAGCTGTCTTGGTTTCGGAAATATTTTTCCTATTCATTTTTCCCCTAGGGATTTTTTAAAGAGTCTTTCTTAAAGAGTTATAAGCTATGAAACCAAACCAACCAGCAACAAGGTTAACAAAAAGTACAAAAAGACAAAGGAACAAGACTGGTTTTAATGAGTGAAAGAACTACAACCCTTTTAAGTGTTTCGAATGACAATCAAAATAAAAATTGATTAAACTATTGATTATATAGCAAATATAAATACACAATAATTTTTTGCAAAATGAAAAATACAAAAACATATGTTGTCACCTGTAGAGATCAACTGTAGAGATCATGGTCGATCGGTCTCAAAGTTTTATACGTTAGAATCAAAAATCTGTTTCTTTGTAAAGAACAAAACAGCAACACAAACCACACACTTCGCATGTTTGGCTCAAGACAGCTGAAGCCGATTAACACGTTGTGTCCTACAAGAAAAAGTCTGTTTCACCACTGAGTTTGATTTCTCTTGGTGAAACTGGCTGGATTTCATTTGGAAATGTAGCATGTTTGGCCAGCCCCTTCAGACAGGAACGGAGTGCAGGAGGGGTTCTGCTCGAACCACAAATCTCTCCTCTTCCTGCTTATACAGTGTTAAGCGACAAATGACCTGAAACATTAAACACCTTTGTGGTGTCAGTGACACACTGTAAACAATGTGACAAGACTAAATCCAGAATGGGTCATATGCAACAGCAAAAGTGTATAGACAAACTCCCCTCTCTTGCCTTGTGGGTTATTGAACGCAGCCACGTGTCTGAGTATGGAAATGGATTTTACATGCACGAGTCTGCTGTACTGTAAGCATGTGAGACTCTTACACTATAATTGCAGACTAATTCAGAATCCGACTGCTACTTCACTTGCATAATTAGACACATTGAGCTCTTATGAAGGGGCTGAGGAATCAGAGTAATGCTGACATTCAGACAAACAGCACAGCTGCGAATTATACTACTATAAATTGCACAGTTAAACAAGTTAATTTCAAGTGCGTACATTTAGAGTGTATATTGCAAGCTACAACAAAAAAATGTCCAAATGAAGTCAAAGTGTTGAACGTCTCCAAGCAAAACACATTACTGGTGTTTCTGTCCTGAATGAATCAGTGTTATTGAATGAATCGGTTGATTGGGTAATTCAATGACTTACTCATCAATGTTTTTGAACGAATAAATTGATTGAAATAAATTGCAAATCTCAGTACTAGTTTCGATCCTGAATGAGCAAGTGTGTCAATTATTAGTTGATTCGGTGATTCAATGAAAATTCGGCGTTTTTGAACAAACGGACTGAGTGAATGACTCAGCCATTCACTACATAACTCTAAAAATAGCTATATTAAGGCCAATTCACACCGCACTGACAAACACCGACAAACGCCAACAGACTAGTCTGTCTGAGTTTGTTGGATCAGTGTGTTACCCCTGTCGGCGTTTGTTGGCGTTGGTCGGAGTTGGTTTTAACCCGACTGAACATGTTTAATCGGCGTTTGTTGGGTCGTGGAATGTCTGAGCAGTGTGATATGATTTTCCAACAAACGACAACAAACTCTGACGTATTCTGACCTGGCCACGAACCGTTGCCATGATAATGAGGCAAGACTGCAAGTAGGTGCTGGGCACGCTTAGGAAAATAACTTTAAAAATGGCAGGTTTCTGGACAAACCAGAAAGAGGAACAGTTTTTGGATCTTTGGGAGGAGAGGCCAGAGCTTTATGCGGTGGGTGTAGCCGAGTATACCAACCGCAACACGAGGGGGAATGCGATCAGATCGATCGCTACAGCGCTTGGGAAATTTCACAACGGAAATTTATTTGACAATATATTATTATTATAATAAAACTGCCTTACAATATTACCAAAGACATTAATAACAGTATCATTTTTATTGTTGTTACAAGATCATCCATTTTCCCCCCTAGTTAAGTCTCCCTGACTTGAAGTCTGTTGGTGTCTGTTGGGGCAGTGTGAACATGACAGTTATTTTTCATAAAATTCTAAATCCAGCGGCCAACGTGTCTGTTGGCGTTTGTCGGTGCGGTGTGAATGGGCCTTTAGGGTCCACACTGACACACTATAATGTTCTATTAATTATAAGCTCCTGCTGCAGTCATGTCGCCTGCCGCTTTAAATGCTCAAGCTCTTTAAAGTTGGGTGGATTCTGATTGGCTATCAGTGTTTTTAGCATTTCTCAGCTGGAAATTTTAATTATAGTTTTAAAGGTGCTGTATGCAAGTTTTTGACTCTACTAAAGCATAAAAATACCATAATATGTTTGGAGATATTTAAGAAACATGCTAAATTAACATACTTGTTTATCTGAAAAACAATGCGTCAGTTATTCTCCTTTGAAAATGTGCGTTCCGGGCCGGAATGTCGGTCTCTGTTTTGGTTTGTGAAACACTGCCAGTTTACCCAATTGTATTTCGGCACCCAGGGTTGCCTAAAACAGCGTATTTCATGTCCTTCATCGTCAAGTGCGCTCGTTCCTATTGGTGTCGTCAATCTGGCAACCTGCGTGTGCATCAAGTCTGAGGAGGAGGAGCCGCGTGAAAAAAACCCTCTCCAATATTTTGAATTTGGACTGCAATACCTAGTTCAACCACTCGGCGTCAATCCTACATACAGCACCTTTAATAATCATTCTAATTTAATGAGTCCACACCTATAAGGACACAGAGAATATCACTGAAATCAGTCTCAAAATGATTATTTCTATCTATTGAACAATAAAAACATTGACTGTGGAGAATCCAGCCAAAGCTCAAACATTTAAAGCTGCAGACGACATAACTGCAGTTCAAGCTTATATAATAAACAGAGCATTATACAGTATATAGTGTAAGTAAAATATACATAATGTGTCTGTGTATAATAAATATAATATATACACAAATATTTATCTACATACAAGAAAAAAACAATAACAGCCATGACAGAATGTCTTAGTGAAATATTTATTCTTTTATATAAACATATAAAACAAATCATTTAAATACAGAATATCTGTACACAAACTTCGTACATAAGTTTCTGCAGTGCTCAGCATGGGTGCAGATGCAATCCATGGAGTTTCTTGGCTTCTGAACATGGCAGAGTGGGTCACCCAGAGAAGCACAAAGTAGAGCAGCGAGATGGGGGTTTTCATGCATTAACATGTCCTGGACTCACAATCCTCTTCTAATTGGACTAGTTTCCTTACCATTCATAACAAACACAAGTCGGTGAAGTCTATTCTGCACAAAGCAGGCAGTTAAGACATACTGTGTATTTTATATTATTCGCATTCGTTGGTGTGTCAACTAAGCAACTATGTGAAGGATTAGGCAAGGAAGGAAACCATCCAGAAACATGCAATGCTGACTCTGTTGTCTCTGGTGTAGGTTATAAAGCAAGTTAATGGCACAGGGCCATTTCTGAAGATGCTTTACCATATGAAGTCATCTGAAGATGAATTAGGGATATGCCTGGCAACTTTATCCGCTGTGCTTCTGATTAAAAACTATTCTACTGGAGTTTCATAAAAAGTGGGTTCAACTAAGGGGAAAAGAATAAAAAAAGATATTTGTGCATAAAATACTCTCAGCTGTTTTTTGTTCCACTTTTTTTTCTTTTTCTTTTTTAGCTCTATGAAGACCACAGGGAGGAAAACAAGCCACATTTATTCACCGATTCTGCCACGTTCCTCGCATGGGCCAAGAAACATTTAATCTCTTCACCAGGTTCTGGGTTAAACTGACTTACAGCACCGTTAATAGTGAAAAACACATAAGCCAACGTCTGGGGTAAAGGTGAGAGAAAAACAAAAATAAAATATGAAATTATTAAAACAAAGGTCTCTCAAAACGTATGAGGTGCAAAAAACAAAACTCTATTGCCTACCAAGAATCTACCAAGAATTATATTTCCGTCTCCACCAAAAATCAAACAAGTGATTTCATATGCCACCTGTCAAGGCTCTCCACGTCTTTTTTCATGCGCAACAAAGCAACTGCTGACACTATCACCCCCTTTACTGTAAGTGTGCTGCCGCTTAATGGAAGGGCTGCCATTCAGCTCTCATGTAATGAACACAAGCAAAGCAGCCTGGTGACACCATTACTCTTCAGTTCATTAGTCTAGAATGAACTCACAAAAAAGACAATGGCTGATTGAAAGCGATCACTCTCTGTTTCAAGTCAACTCAGAGATAAAGGCAACTGGAAATGCCTTAGTATTCCACACTGAAGCTGCGTTTAAGATGCCTCTCTGTTCTCGCACAGAGGTGGCCAGAGCCTGGCAGAGAGTTGAAGAGCTCTCCACACTTCTCTCCTGCATCTCCAGGCCCTCCGGCTGAGCAGTGACTGTTCTAGATGTAGTCGTCATCCACCGGCTCCCCCCGAACGTCGCAGTAGTGGATGAAGACGACCACCACACGCTGGAAAACACCCCTACGTGTCTGCCGTCGCTCCGAGATCTCCTCACCGATGGTCTCCATGCAGATGTCGGCCGAGAGCTGTCCCTTACGCCGCGGCGCATAGATAGTGGCTGACAGAAAGGAAGATTTCAGAGAGTGAGCGAGAGAGAGTTTTTTTTTATTTTTGAACAAATCAATGCAGCCTTAGTGAACAAAAGAGACTTCTTTCAAAAACATTAAACTAACCAAGCTCAAAAATGATATATTATATAATTAATATAATTGTATAATCAAGATGGAAAAATAATATTGGAAAATAAATGGTTGAACAAACATCATGGCTAAATGACTGTACTATAGTTAAGATGCATTTGTATTTGAATTTCATTGTATTGTGATGAATATTAACATCTGAACTTTATTCTTTCATAATGGACAGTGTGTTACTTACTACTTTCATCATCCTCAAAGTCATATCGGGCATAACTGTTGGGCTCTGCTGTGCGTAACGAGCGAAGCCACGGGAAATCTGTGATCATCGAATACGGCGCCCCATCTATTACTCCTAAGGCAAAGGGAGTGTGGGAAAGATCGAATGCCATTCCTTTATTATTCCTTTAAAACTGAAAGGGATCTTGTAAACATTTATGGGCAGATTCTACATTATGGGAGTCTGCAACTTTTCTCATCCATTAAGATGATTAACTTTGTGTAAGGGATTTGGGAAATGCTGTAAATTTCTCTCTCTTCTCTTTCACACATACTATAACTGTGTTTCCAGAGGAAGTGAGGGGAACTTGGAGCTAGTCTCAAAGGACCCTGATCTGTTTCCTCTCACCCTCTAAAGTGTAGATGTCTCTGCCCCAGGGATAGCTGGGATACTTCTTTACATCCTCTTCCGTCCGTGTGGCCTCCAGAAAGAATTCATACTTGATGAGTTCTCTTGTGAAAGGATAAAAACACAGCTTGTGAGTCTCTGGGTTTATCATGATAAGAAAATAGTGCCATCTAGTGAACAAAGCAGGAATCAAATGAGCCATTTAGAAAGCTGGCATAATTTTTGCAGAATCTAAGTGTAATTCAACAGGCCACAAAAAAAATTTACATTCTTCCTTTTTAAATATAGCACTATAAAGATGATAAACACTAAATTATTTATTATCTTATTCTTGGTATTACATTTACATTTAGCAGACGCTTTTATCCAAAGCGACTAATATCAGAATCAAACAGAAACGGTAAAATGGAAATATTTGTATTCCTGAACAGTGATAGAAAGTCAAGTTTAGAGAAGTCTTCGTTTTACCAGTACTGTATTATGGGTAATGTAGTCCACTCACTGGCTAATGTTGGCAATGGTGTCCATCCAGCTACGTACGCGCACTTTGTTCCTGGCATTGGGTGGGTTGCTGAACTCATGGATAATAGCAATATGGTATGGATATGGTCCACTGAAGAGCTTTTTTTCCAGAGCCAGAGAATCAATCTGATGTTAAAAAGCACATAACTGTAATATATTGTGCTGTAAATACCTCAATTACCCTTTACAGGGCTCAAAAACAAAGCTGTAATGTAACTCTATATATTAAGCACATATAAATCCAATCACACGTTTGTTGGAAAACAGTTGCATATGATGTGAAACATTAATGACTTCTTCATTCCAACTGATGAATATATTACAATTATATTACAAACTATTCTTGCAGTTTCCTTCTTGTAAAACCTCATCCATGCCAGCCATCGATATATAATGTTATTTTGATGACATACTTATTAAAACAATGTCCAATAAATCATAATAATCTAAATGTTTAAATTTGCAAAGCATAAAAATGTGTATGATCAATAAATCTATATATCGCATTCAAACGTTTGGGATCGGTAAGGTTTTTAAATGTTTTTGAAAGAAGTCTCTTATGCTAGTCAAGGCTGCATTTACTTGATCAAAAAATACACACACACACATGTCTGGTCAGCTATCCTTGTGGGGACTCTCCATAGGCGTAATGGTTTTTCTACTGTACAGACCGTATATACTATTGCCCTACACCAACCCTACCCCTAAACCTACCCCTCACAGGAAACTTTCTGCATTTTTAGATTTTCAAAAAACTTAATTCTGTGGGATTTATTAGCTTGTTTACCCGTGGGGACCTCAATTTAGGTCCCCACCGTGACACGAGTCCCCATGAGTCTGTGTGTATTCAGGTTTAAGTCCCCACCAGAATAGAAAAACAGGTACACACACACACACACACGGTAATATAGTGAAATAACTGTTTCTATGTGAATATATTTTAAAATGTAATTTTCAATCAAGTGCAGTTTTCAGGAGCCATTACTCCAGTGTCACACGATCCTTCAGAAATCATTCGAATATGCTGATTTGGTGCGCAAAAAACATTTATTATTATCAATGTTGAAAAGAGTTGCGGTGCTTAATATTGTTAGTGGAAACCGGGATTATTTGCTGAAAATAAAGTTCAAAAGAACAGCATTTATTTGAAAGGGAAATCTTTTGTAACATTTTTATTAAATGTTTTTACTGACACCTCTGATCAATTTAAAAGGGGTCATGCCTTTGTTTTTTATTCTGCATTGTTCTCTGAGATCCTCTTATAATGTTTATCAAGATTTTTACATAAAAAACATCATAATTTAAAAGTAATAGGCTATTTTCTGTCCTGTTTTGACCCCCCTCATCGGAACGCTCTGTTTGAATATGCGTGGCGGATTGTATGGGAAGTAAACGATACCACTGCTATGACTGGCTAACAGTTGTGTATGTTTGACAGCCTATATCCTTCAGAGATGCACACTACTGTGATTTAGGTTAAAAACGCATAAATACTCAGTAAATATCAAACGATCTGTAATAACAGACAAAGCAATAGAGACCACGTAATAAAAACAGTTACACACACTTGTGTGGTGTGACATTACTGTCAGATCCAATATAGCTGCACAGCATCGTCTTTTAGTTTCAATCTTTCTGAAAATCCAGCGTCCAATTGTGCCTTGTTTGTAAACGAATCCTAACCCTAACTGAAGTGAACAAAGGACCAAGTTCTTACTGACGTGGTCTGGAACTTAATTAAAGATAAAGTTCATCCACTCTTTCCTAATGTTGGGATCAGAAGGAAGGCGATGCAAAGACTGTTTTTCCACAACTTGGCACTGCACAGCGTCTTGTTGTCTTTGGAGGCATCTTTATCATTTGGTTTCTGTGTAAACCTGCGTTCGCCTCTCTTGTTATTTACACTACATGCGTGTGGGCGGGGCTAAACAGGCAGTGATGTAGAAGCAGGCGTTGATCATCTTCTGCGGAGGCGGTGTTTAGCCACACTATTACTATTAGTTTTGGCAGATTGGCTTCAATATAAGCTGTTTTTAGACTAACGAGAAGGATTTGAGTTCTGTGTAAAAACTTACAGGATGTTTTTATAGTACAGTGAAATTTTGATTTCTCAGTTCATGGCCCCTTTAATGCATCCTTGCTGAATAAAAGTATTAATTTCCTTAGAAAAATCTTACTGACCCCAAACTTTAGAATGGTAGTGTACCACAATAATTCAACAACAATATCCAGTATATCACAATAATCTAAATTTTTAAGTTTGCAAAGCATAAAGCATTTCTATACTTTATTGAATGTTGCACTTATGCAACCAATAGTAATACTGTATACTCATGAAACAGTTTCATCAAATGTGAAAATTATAAGTCCTACATCAACACAATATTCAGAAACCCACTGATTGTAGCTACCATGGCAACCTCACTCTACTAAAGAATAATGCTGACCTGCTGCATAGGCCTCATGTAGATGATGCGGTTTCTCTCCGGCGGCATGCGTAAGATCTGGTCAAGCACCTGCTCCATGTCCAACTTCTTACATTGTGCATAATCAAAGCGGTTTACTATGGGGGCACTTTCAACCACCAAGTGTTTCAGCACCCTACAGCGTGTTGCTTGGGAAAAAAACAATCAAGTTACACATTTGGATGTGATACAGTTTGACTCCTGTCAATGTCAACATGTTCTGCTATGAACTCACCATGGACAAACATCATTTTGGGGCACTCCTTAAGGACCAGATCTGTGATGCCACAATTTGTAAGTGTGATTCCCACCAGGTTTTTAGATTTAAGGCTGAGCACCTGTATGATGTGAAAATATATTTGTGATCTGTAAGAAGGTGCATTAAAGAAACATTAAGTTGAGTGAAACGAGACCATGAACAAGAACAAGACACCTGCACATGGTCATCTTCAGTCACAGGGTCACTGGTGCTGGTGGACTTGTCTGCCATATGTTTCCTCTTCACTGCAACCCGAGGCTTAGCTTTGGGTAGTTCTGGATACACCAAGAGGTGATGAGAAATGAAATGGAAGTCTTACTGTTGGTCAAATTTATCTTTATGTTAAATCTTACTGCCATAGGAAAAAAATTAACATACAATGGGCAACAAAGCAATATAGATTAGCCTTGCTTCAAAAAAATTACTCGTTCATAAATTGAACATAGCTACTTCACTCACAAAAACACAAACAAGCGCTATGAGGGATGTCAAGATTCTCAGTGCTCAGCAACACAGATTTCAGTCTGTTTTTGCACAAGCGTTTGATGAACCACTTTTATGTGCTTTTGATTCCCTTTTGAAGCTCGAAGCTCACGCAGTTCATAAATAATAAAAGAACATTTCACCCCAAAATGAAAATTCTATCAAGTATAATTTAAATGTAATTTTAAAAGTATATCAGTTTGTAAATACACTCCCATTCAAAAGTTTAGGGTCAGTAAGTTAAAAAAAACTGTTTTCAGTAAAGACAGATTAAATGGATCAAAAGTGACAGTAAAGACATTTATGGTGTTACAAAAGTTTTCTATTTCAGATAAATGCTGTTTTTTTTTTTTACTTTTTATTCATTAAAGAATCCTATTAAAAGATATTAAACAGCACAATTTTCCACACTATTAATAATAAGAAATGTTTTTGATCACCAAATCAACATATTAGAGTATGAAGGATGTGTCATGTGACACCGAAGACTGGAGTAATAGCTGTTAAAAATTCAGCTTTGACATCAAGGGAATACATAACATTTATAAAATATGTATACATTAAATTTGAAAAGTTATTTTAAACTGTAATAATTGTTTCACTATATTACTGTTTTTAATGTATTTTTGTAGCCTTGGTGAGCATAAGAGACTTTCAAAAGCATTAAAATTTTTTTTACCAACCTCATACTTTTGAATGGCAGTACGCAATGTAAGCATTATAAAGTATGTAATTTGTAATATTCAATATGTTAAATAGTCACCTTATACTTCATACTCAAAATGCAACACTCAACAATGTGTCTTTCTAATTAGGGCCTGAAAAAGGTTTAGAGATTCCTGAAATAAATGCATCTACACTTATGAGACATTCTACTACAACAGTGGTTTTATGCAAGCATGCATTCATCAGAAAAACTCTAATTTCCTACATGTGCTATTCTTCTCAGCACTGTAGGTTCTCTAGGAGTCAAAATGGGTGTGGCCCTTTATCCAAATGTCATGAACACAAGGAAATATACTGCACTATAATTGCCCATATAGACTAGCAGTGAAGTAATCAAGACCCCCAGCATTCCTCCATCTGCTTTTATGCTATGCACAAATGCCACACCACGAGGATCAGCCTTTGCCTAACTGTGCCTTTTTTCCATTGCTCAATTGATTCTCTGACATCCCACTGTGAGGAACCTCTGCTCTCGTCTTACCTGACTCACAAACCAGGGGCACAGAGAAAAGTCTGCTGCGGGCACGAGTGACCGGTCTCCTGGGAAACTCGTCTGTAGGGCTTCTGTGTGATGATCCATGCTGGTGGCCTGCAGTCTTCTCACTTTGCCCCTCAGTTGAGCCCTGAGTCCTGGGTGGAGCGTTGGAGTGCATGTCCTCCATCTCATCTCCTCCTGCTCTCTGCTCTGGGCTGTGACGTTCTGATCTATGGCTGTCTCCTCCCACTGGCAGGCCATGGCCACCACGAGTCTTATTTTCAGAGCACGTGCAGCGAGTCCTCACCATGTCGTCCTCCCCTCTACCCGCCCCACCTTGGTTGTCCTGATTGGCAGACTCCTCCCTCCAGCGGATGGAGCAAACACAGTTGCCGGCAGCGTAGCCTGAAGCAGACCCGGGCCCACTGTTTCTGTCTCTGGCCCCACGCTCAGCCGTCTCAATGGCCGCCTTCATGTCAGCCTTGATCTGCTCGCTGGTCACCTGGCAGCCTTTCTCACAACTGAGCTCCTGAGGTTGCGGTCCATGTCTACGCAGTGGAGTTTTCCCTTTACCTGCCGGAATACAGCACAACAATCATATCGGCATCAAGCTGTATCAGCCATCAAGTTTGCTCTCTTCCAATAGTGTCATTGCAGTCGTACAGATAATATTTCAGAACTTATATGGCCCCAAAAATATGTGAATATTCTTGGACACTTGCACACATGTATGAATGAAATGTATGAATTAAATGATGAAATCTGAATAGTAGTGTATATTGATCAAAAATATGACATCATTTATTGCAATTATATTCACACATTAAGTTTGGGGTAAGTAAGACTTTAAAAAAAAAAAAAGAAATCAATACTTTTATTTAGCGATGGGACACAATTAATTGATCAAAAAGTATGTTAAAGGGGTCATATGATTCTGCTAAAAAGAACATTATTTTGTGTATTTGGTGTAATGAAATGTTTATGTGGTTTAAAGTAAAAAAAAAACATTATTTTCCACATACTGTACATTATTGTTTCTCCTCTATGCCCCGCCTTTTTGAACCGCGTCGATTTTTACAAAGCTCATCAGTCTGAAAAAGCGAGGTGTGCTGTGATTGGCCAGCTATCCAATGCGTTGTGATTGGCCGAATACCTCAAGCGTGAGACGGAAATGTTACG